AATAAATGATGGTTACTTTGGTTAGTTAGTTAGGTATTTGCTATATTCGATCTCTAACTACAGAACGTGCTCAGTGAAACACCGGCTAAATTTAGCAAGCGACCTACATTTTAAATTTTCTTTAATTCTACAGACGCTATGAGAATGCTCATCGTGAGAGTGCGCTCATTAAAAGCGTTCAAATGATCTATCGTACGCGTGGCGTTGCAAACACTTCCTTAGCGAAATGATGAACAGGTACTCTAATTATAAAAGCAAATGAATGTGAAAAACAGAAAAAAAACCCTCCAAAACACGTGAACTGTTTCACATTTTCGTCTCTTAATTCGATGTGTAATCAGTTGTTATTGTCACTGGACTTCGCCGCTTGTTCCAAGTTGGTGGTGTGCCAACTACAATATGGAAAACTTCCGCAATGATTTGGACGCCAGACGACGCTTAAAGCTGCAAATTATAACAATCACAGACAAAGAGGATTCACCACATAGGATATTAGTTATAACCATAAACAGCAATGTTCCAGGATGGCGAACCAGATGAGGACTTCAGAATTAATACAAGGAGAAGAATTGAAAAATCAAAAGTTGTCGAAACCTAAATCATTCCGAACTCCGACCACCTATTCAAGAGCTAAAATTTGCAAGCGATAACATTTGGAAGATCTCAGTGTAAATACATTCTAACAGCGCTATTACTGCAACGGAATAAGTGCGTCTTTTAGAATGAGGGTGCTTAATATTAACAACATCAATTTCGAGGGGCACTTATAAGAGAGAGAGCGCTTATTAGAATGGGAGCGCTAATTCGCCTTACAACAGTTTACTAAAAATTCCCAAAAAGCCTAGTTTTTGAAAGTAAAAGTCTACAACTTCCTCTCGTTCAATTTTCCCAAAGTTTGACAATGAACTTAGTTTGATCCTTCAACAAGGAAAATTTGTTTCGCTATTTTAGCAAAGCCTACTCCAAGTACTGCGAAATGATTGGTTTAGTCAGTCCACTTGCCGAATTCAGCCCTTTCTCTCTAATTTGGATGGTATCATTAAGCTTTCATGCTTGCGTTGCACGCCAGAACATCTCATTAATAATATGTACATTTGTACGCGATGAGTGAATTCGCGCTGACCTAACCTTTTCTCTGTATTTCTGGGACTGACTGCGTGCTCGGACGATCGAGAGCGGGAACATGGCCTGTTGACGAAGAAATTCAAGAAAATAGGTTTAATTACATTGCATCGATAAGTCATGTTAAGAATTGGCCAGTAAAGCAGCAAATGACAGAATTTAATCAATGAAGATTAAAAGGAACTTCCAGTACCGGTGATCAGTGTTCTTTCGTTTCATTTTCCAAGTTTTCCCCATGTGCAGAGGCAATGCCACAATGCAGAGAGGGAAGAAGGCAGAAGACTGCACGGATGGCGCGATATGGGCGCGAACCGAAATCACCAGCGATTTCAACCAATGAGAGATGCGATGACAATTAAGAAACCTCCTTTGAGTCATACACATTTGAACGATTGGTGGACATGCCACGCTTCGTAGATATTTTACTTATTTAACGCTATAGTTGGCCTCCGGTCCCTCAAGTTCCTTAGAGCTGCCTTATACTATACTTCCAAACTCAACCTACAGTACACCGTTTACGTGATCTCAGGGTTTGATTGATTTGGGTTGCAGCGAAAAAAGGAACGCGTTACGCTTTAGGGCTTCACCGATGAAAAACAGTTAAAAGCTTGGCAACTTCTCTGTTCGCAAAGTGATCATTCATCAGTTGAAAAAAAGGGAAATCGCCGACGATTGAATTAAACGCTTAACTGGAGATCGCTTCATTTCCTTTAATTTTCCTATTTGTTGCTTTCTCAATTTATGTTCGAAAACACTGGTGCCCTTTTAAAATTTCTTACCGCCGCCCCTTGACGTCCTTATTTAAAAAAAAGATCAGAGCTTGCTGATGTGAACGTTCGACCCGACTGACGCCAGTACGTGTCACAGCGCCGCTCTTCTTTCATACAAACTGGTCCGGCTGCCAAAGGCGGAACGCCGTAATGAAGAGTCGTCTCCGAGTTTTTTGGAGCTTTTCGCTCGATTGCAAACTAGAGATATAAATGATATGTCACCAAATCCGTTTACGTGGCGATAAAAGTTTTTCTTACTGGCTGAAAAAAAAAAAAAGAACAAGATATCTTCTGTTCGCGTATGTGGGCGTGGATTTTTCGTGTAAAACGAAGCACAGTAGGGATGCATAATGCAATGGCACAAATAAGCCTTGAAACGAATTTATCAGGACAAATGCTATAATTTAGTATATTCAGGTTCCGTAAAGATAGGTTTCCTTCCTTCTTCTTTATTTGGTTTCGGCAAAACGGCTTGCGCAACGTCTGCACTATTCCGGTTGCCAAGCAAGAAGTACGTGGTGGCTTCTGCAGAGCGGAACATTCTTCAGTTTGAATGCAAAAAGCTTTAAGTGAAAAGCACATCGAGGAAGCTTTGGAGAGGTTTTTCCTACGGAATTTTTAATTTCAGAAAAGGAGCCGGCAGAAGGAAAAAACCAATCATAGCGCACTTTGACGTTAGCGGATCGACTGAAAGGCCGTCTGTCGTAAATGATCTCGCAACAAACAATCACAGTGGCTTGATGTACACTATTTTATTCTCCTACTCACTTGCAACTCAGATCTCATAGTCAATCAAATCACCTATCATATTTCTGTTCTTCCGTCACGAACCTGTCAACAAATTCAGTGTAACGCTTCGGTCACGACACTCTCCCCCTATTTGACTGTCGTTGAGGCAAATATAGAACGCGATAAATCTACTATCTTAAAACACAACTGAAACTAATTTGAAAGTGAAATGTCACTTGTAAAGTCTAATCCTCGTTTAGTTCGTCTTGACCTACGGCAGCTATTCGCTGCCGTGCATCTGCTGCGGCTGTTCTCGGCTGGAATTCTCTGGCGTCAGCTCTTAATGTCTCTCCTCTCCTTCGTTCAGGTCTGTCGCAGGTTAATTCAAGAGGAAACAGCAGCTGCAATGGTCTCTCTCTCTCTGTGTCTTCCCAGCTCTAAGCTGCGCCCCTCTTATGTGGTTTGGCATGTCGCAATAGACGCATGGTTTCTTTTTACTTCACGTTGATTTGCTTGAAAACTTCTAGAATTGAGGCAGTTTGGTCGGTAGCTTGTATGGTGGTTTCGTTAATAGCTTGAATTGCTTCCCTTGATCTACCACATCATCGCATTTCGGCGGGTTTCGCACCGTCCATTCCCGTAACGCTTCTGCAAGTTGAGGAAATTTCCAACTTCCATTCGTCATCGGTTCACACTAAATCTGCTCTGATCCCTTCCAGCTTATTCAGAGTCATCCTGACATATCCGTTTACTTCTCCAAACTTTCCCATAGTTTCTAGGGATAGCATGTTCGAACACAGCTTTTCATAGAAATCTAAGATCTTGTTTGGGTTGCATTGGCAGAAATATTGGACAAGATGGCGGGCGCGCCTACGCATTTCGTCCATAATGGCTTCCAAATAATATAGGAAACTGTATGGAAATTTGTAAAATTTCTAAAATATAACAATCAGGAGCTCATGGTCCCGTCTGCTCTCGATCGAGACATATTCAGTATTGATTCTGCTACTCATCAAACCTCACAGTGACTCGATAAATAAAAACAACTTACTTCCCGAGCCAGCTCTTTTGTCATTGTTCATTGACGTAAGTCGCCATACAGTTCTTCAAAATCCGTCGCTCTTCATCCCAAACACTCGCCTATTACAGGAAAGTGCAGCAATGAAGTCAACTGCTCTCGATCAAATTGACTGCTACTGGGTTCGAAGCGTCAAAATATCCTGTAAAATTGTTATTTCCTCCCATCAAAAAACTTCCCAACGCGCCAGAATGTCCCTTATTTTCCATGTTAAGTAAGTGACGAGACGCCATGTTAAAAACTATGACTGAAATGGTTAAACACTTGCCACGCTGATCTTCGAATCATCGGCCACATTTGTGTATGTTCTTGCTAGGAAATAAATTAGTTATCAGGTCCTTTTCGGAATAAAAATATGCCAGGCGTTAAATGCAAATTCAGTAGTCTTGGCGCGAAAATTTAATAAAAGCAAATCAAAATTCTGACATCATGTCATCGCTCTGCCTCGAAAATTCTCAAAGATTTACTTGTAGGTCTTCTTTTCTTTTTCTTTTCATCAAATAGAAGATCTGTGGTGCTCAAATTGTGTAAGTCATGGTACGAAACACGCTTCTTTACAGATCGAGCCGTGATCGCCGCCATATTGAATTCTCTGGATATTCTATTGTTCCGGAGTGTAATACGATGTAGCGGGCTCGAAGTGTCCTTGATTTCTGGCGATGGGTTCCACGAATCGTCGTCTTCTTCGGCTTCAAACCTATTTTCCTGAACGGTTATCCTGAGGCCGTGAACTTCCTCGACGTTCTTTTTCAACATGTCCGACGATAATTTAATATTGATCGCGTGATGATTTCCATTTATTGCGCGAAATTTTGATTTCATCGCACGATAAATCTTTTTGATCGCGCAATAAAACTGAATTTAAAAAGTGGATAGCGTGTTCTCTATGGGCCACTGTCACCACTGGCTTGATGCATACTAGTTCATTCTCGCACTCACTTGTAACTCCGATCTCACAATCAATCAACGCAAATCATCAGGCACATTTCTGTACTTCCGTCACGAACTTATCAACAAATTCAATGTAACGCTTTGGTCACGACACCGTCAATTTAGCATTTTAAATTACCTTGTGCTAACTCTAGAAAGGTATAATTAGCATTAGGAAGAATCCAATAAATGAACACGGTTCTTATAGACACTTAGTTCGCGTTTGATCACATCCTTTATCATTATAGATAAAGAAAATACGGAGTCCTTGTTTTCGGGCATTCGTTTTCGGGTCTTCGTTTTTCGGAGGTCTTTGGTTTCGCCATAAGTGGAATCAAGGTCCTGTTTCGACACGTGCATACGTGCATACGTGCTATGTGGTAGCGATCTCGGATTTTGTCTCTGATGCGTGGTCCTATAGCTTTATTACAGATCCCACATCCCATAGTTAATCCATTAACTATGCACATACCAAGTCACGACGCTGATGTAATTTGCATTTGTTGTATTTGTGCGTCATCTTTCGTCATATCCTTTCGATAATCGTTCCCTGAAGACGTGACTTTCAGCGGATCGTGAAGAGACCTGAGGACTGGCACAATACTTGAATGGTTCGTGTTGTCCCTCGTACTCCAACGTAACCGATGATTAAGGTGTAGACATATCACTTTGTGCTCGGAAACCTTCACTTTAATGACTGGCATTTTCCTTATTAGCCAAGCCTTGGATTTGAGATTCTTTGGAGTCAGAATGGTTTGCATTGCATAAATATATCAGAAGGCTTCTATAACAGGAAACGATCAGCGCCCTAAGGTGAGTCGATTTTTAATAGTCATTTTTATAAAAATATGAAATTCGCTTGTTGTCGATCTTACTTCCACCGAGTTAAGGAGCTTGTTGTATCTACAGCTTTACAACTTGCCTTCGATTATGAAGAGCGTCTCCCGTCATCTGCATGAAATTTTCTCACTTCGCTATCCGGTAATATTTCGGTTGATTTTTTTTGTAATCATGAACGGGCCTCTTAATATTAACACGGTTTCTACACTTTGGGCCGGTATTCGACACAATCATGCACGGGCCTCTTATTATGAACACGGTTTCTGCACATTGAGCCGGTTTTTACCCTAAGTTTAGCCGTTGTTCAACAAAACCGCGTTCTTAGCCAACGAACCTTTTATCTGAATATTTACTTTGTGAACAGTGTCAGGAAAGCTGAAAGCTAATCGTGGAGAGACATTCCTACGATTGATCTCAGAGGTCCACTGCTTGCATAAATCCATGATTTGGGTTCGGACCCGGTGAAACCATGGAGGCATGATTCTCATACAAGGTACAAAGTTTTTTAAAACGAAAAGGGCTCGGATGAGCTTCGCAAGGTTTCCATTCCACTGGGAAAAGTGGTCTCATACCGACATTGAAAGTCGATATTAGATGCGTAAATTCGCTTTGTCCTATTGACTGAATGCAAATTTTAGGTCAGGTAATAATTCTTAGGTTTCCATTCCACTGGGAAAAGTGGTCTCATACCGATATTGAAAGTCGATATTAGATGCGTAAATTCGCTTTGTCCTGTTGACTGAATGCAAATTTTAGGTCACGTAATAATTCACCTTGAAACAGCCGAATGGCAGCCGGCATATTTCATAGAATACTCCAAGATCATGCCATTTTTTGTGCAAAGAACAAAATGTTTGTTTAAGTTGAACCAAACGGGTGCGTTCGAAAGATCTTTCATTGTTGATTAGTCACATGATCTGAAATGGCTAAACAACAGTCGCGGCCATTATAAATTGACTGCAAAGCGTAGAAATTATTCGATTATCGCTACGCCTCTTAAACGCCATGATATTTCCATAAATTCGAGTTTGAATTTTCTAACCCCAGACCCTTAAGCTTCAGAAGTTAAACATCCATGTTATGTTTCCTCAACTGCTAATCGCATGAATATGTCCTATTCTCCAGGAGTAAGTGGTCAGTGAAATAATTTCGTCTCGTCTCGATTTCTTGATGCGATTGTTGTCTTTCAGTTTCTTTTAAAACAGATATGGAATTTAAGAATAAACAAAGATCAATAAAATCTTGAGAGTAACATCTAGTACCAAAGTGTATTCTGAACATTTCAAAGACGAAGATGTTAAGTTTACAGACAGCCAAACTAGGAGATTGAAAGATGACTCATGTCTTTTGTTTTATGGTCATCAGTAGGCTATTTCTAAAAGAAATAGTATTTCGTTTCCAGCATGATAATGTTAGGCATGGATGTCATATGGTCGGAAAGTTAAGGGAAAAATGATTTACTTCAATGCCTTGGAAAACTCAGGGAATTTTACTTTGAGCTAGGGAAAATTGACATCATTTAAAGAAACCAGGGAAAGTGAAATTTCCCCCTGGCTCATTCTAAAACTTCATAACTGCTATAGACTAAGATCTAAATAAAACACTTTCAAAGTGATTATTGATTGTTGCAAAACATTTATGCCAGCAGTTTTGACAGTGGTAATGTCATAACTTCTAGAGGTCTTTCGTCTCCCTCTTGCCCTTCAACCTTCTGGTGTCTGCCCCAATGCCATAAAACATTTGTTCACACCCTCTCTCCTGAGTATTTGTCTTAACCAGTTCCACCTTCCTCTTCACACTTCACAGCTAATTTCATTGATCTCTGCCATTTCAGTTACTCTCTTGTTTGTCGTTCTTTGCTGCCATCTAATCCTTAGTATTTGTCTCGGGCATTGGCCTTGGCCTTGGAAACTGTTCAGCTTTCTTTCATCAGTCTTTGTGATTTTCAATGTTTCACAACCATATAGCAGGACTGGTCAGACTATAGTCTTGAATAGGCATATCTTGGTTCTCCTTCCAGTTCCTCTGGTTACCCACACCTCCTATAGCCTCTGGAATGCACCTCATGCCTTCTGCAGCCTGTTCTTAATATCTTTCCTGCCTCCACCTTCCTAGTCTACAGTAGCTCCAAGATATGCAGACTCCTTAACATCTTCCTCTTCTTCACTATTCATCAAAATGCTCTCCCTGTTCCTAGCAAACTTAGTCCTAAGTGTCTTGCACTTTCTTGTATTAAGTTTAAGGCCTATGCTGGCTGCTTCCTCCATCAATCTCTCAGTCTTACACAAGTCGTTGAACTTAGATGAAAGTAGTGTGATGTCGTCTGCAAAATCAAGATCCTCAAACACTGTTGTTAAATTCCACTGTATCCCTCTTCTCTTGTCTGCTGTTGTCTTCCTCATGATCCAATTCATGGCCAGTAATAATAAGAATCCTGAAATTACACATCCCTGCTTTACTCCCGACTTAATCTTGAACCAGTCTGATATATGTATATGTCGACTATTACTCTCACCATCTCGTGCAGAATTCCACAGCTCCCCAGGATGTTCCACAAGCTATTTCTTGACTATTGAAAGAGCAAGTTGTCAACCACTTAGTTTGTTCCCAATAAGAAAACTGACTTTTGGTGACTGATTTAAAATGTTTAAGTTAACTTAGTTGGCTATAGATTGCTCTGCTTGCCTCAAAAATCACATGCCATATTTCCTCAAATAAGCATCCACACTCTAATTAACACCCTCCCCTTAATAAGCACCCATTGCCTAGATCAGAATATTGAAATGAGGGCCACTCTCAAGTAAGTGCTGCCTGCCCCCCCTCTCTCTTTCCCCAATATGAGGTACACAAGGAAACCCGTTTCTATCACCACTTAATCGAAACATTTCAAGCTTCATTTACAACAGAATAAGTTCAATTTAATAATTGCTCAATAAGCACCCTCTCCATTAAGCAGCCTCCCTCCAGTAAGCACCCCCCTTCAATAAGCACCCCCCTTCAATAAGCACCCCCCTTCAATAAGCACCCCCCTTCAATAAGCACCCCCCTTCAATAAGCACCCCCCTTCAATAAGCACCCCCCTTCAATAAGCACCCCCCTTCAATAAGCACCCTCCCTCCAATAAGGAGCTTCCCATCAATAGGCACCCTCCCTCCAATATGCTCTCCTCTTCTTATCCAAAATTTTAGATAGGTGCTTGGGCACTCTTACAAGAAAATAGAGTAATCTTAAAACTCCAAACAAATATGCTTCCTGTCATCTTTTTACTTGGTTTATCAATAACAGTGACACTAATCTATTAAATGAAATACAACTTATAATTTATACACTATTTAATTGAGATATAATATCAGAATTTCATTATGGATACATATTTTTGCATTTACTTACCTTTCCATAACGCTGTTATGTATTTATCAAAGAATAGTGAATGATTCTTAGTTTTAAGGTATTGTAATTGTAGTTATACCTGTTGCTGAAAAGTCCATCTAGGGGACTGTCGGTAAAGTTCTCTCTTTTCTACTGATGTAACATCAGACTATTGAGCTACTTCAACCTGTTGATGAAAGATTGGTTAAAGGAAAACCAAAGAATTTATTTCAATTGGTGTTAATCTTTTTTCCAAGATGGAATGTCATCTTTATCATTTTATAAAGAGGGAATTTTATTGTGGCAGACAGCCCCCTGTCCTTAAAAAAAGCCATTTCTTCCCAACAAATATGGAAATCAGAAACCTCATGTGTAAAGCACCTGTGTCTTGCAGACACTTACAAATTGATCAGGAAAACTCTTACCTAAAAACCAAGGAGAGGAAAGAAGAAAATCCCCAGAGGTTTTAAAGGTCTTGCTGCCCAGCTAATGATTATGAGTCATTCAAGCTGATTCAGAGACACATGCAAGATCCTCCTTAAGGGAAAATTTCTTGTTGTGGATGAACTGAGTGACCTGCTCTCATGTATTCATCCCTGACTCATAACCACTAACTCAAACTGGGTTTGGCTGAGCAAAGATTGTGTCCGGGAGTCCTGGAACTGTCATGGTCAATAGCAGCTTATATAAAAATGTCAGTGCAATGGCCATCAATCATGCATGTCACATGATACTTAACAATTGCGCTACGGTTATTTTTTCAAGGTTAAAGAATGCAGAAGCAAACCAACTCGTGTGACTGTGGCTTGTTTGCACCAGCATCTGTTAAAGATTTTTGTCATGGCATTGACCCAACAACCTAGTGATATGACCAAGAATTATGTGTAGGCAATATGAAAACTACCTGGAATTAAGGGATAGCAATATAATAATATTAAAAACTTTATTTTAGTGTCAGAAAAAATAGAATTTTTCCAGATTTAATTTTCTAATAGTCCTCCTAGAGCCAGCTAATGAGTCTGAATCAATTCCTTCCCATGCCCATACATGTGAAGATGCAGCAGTATGCCTTTTTGTGGAAATCTAATACATTACAATTCTTTAAAATCAATCTTCACAGTTTTTTTTAGCCATGCATATAAGTTTTACTCAGCGTTGTGAATTGCGATTATATAAACTTAACTACCACGGTTGGGTCGGGTCATTTGTATGGATTTCCAGAGAGAAGAATTTTTTAGAGGTACCGTTCATGAACAAGATCAACCGAAACCGGGACGACAGAAAGCCAACAGAACAAACATTTGCTGACATGTCATATTCGAAATATCGCTAAATCTAAAAGACAACAAATTAATCAGTTTAAAATTTCCAGAAGCTGGCCGACATGCTTTTCTTCGTTTACGTTCAACCCGCATTACCAACAATCCAAGAAAAGATGACGGATATCCCTCATTATGCAAGCTTTTCGGGCCCTTTAAAAATGGCTCCCGCTTAGTAAGGCTTGTGTGAGATCATAACTTTTAAGCTGGGTAACAGCGTTCATGATAACTTGGTGAAAAAAATGTTGTTCAAGCAATGATAATCGAACCTCAATACAAGCTAATACACTAACCGTTACCAACATGTAAGGTATCTTTCGAGGTTTCATACGGGGAAATACAACTCCTGATAACTACAATAATCTCCCATATGTTCCCTGTAAATTTTCATCAGGTGCCACCACAAATCCTTCGATCTCTGCTTGAGTAACAAACGAGTCCAAAAAGTGGTTTTCGCATTCTCCCTTCGAAGGTTTTCCTCTCGTAACAGCCTGTTTTTGGATCAATTTCCCATAGTTTGAAACAGGGAATTTTTCTCTTAAAACTGCCTACTTTTCCTCTATTAAGTATAAGCAGGGGAGCCAAATATTAGGCTTTAAGTACGACGAAATTCTCGCACAAATCCGAGCAAAAGAACACCCAAAAGAAGGAAATCTGTTCGCCATTTTGAAAAATGTAACCAGGCCTGTAATCAGAGAAGGAAAAAAAAATAATTAAAAAAAAAATAATAAATAAAATAATAAATTAAAAAAATAAAATAAATAAATAGACTCAAGATGGGTAGGGAAGAAGCGGTAAAAGAATTCAACTTTTATGTAATTTGTTGGGAAGTAAAAACGTATTTGTAACGACATTTCGTTCCAAATATGACAAGTAAGTAAGCTGAATGCTCCATATGGAAAATAGGAAAACAAAGAAATATCTTCATTCACTATCGGCTGAAGAAAATCCATTTAATTGGGCATTATCGTTATGAACCGTGAACGCTTGTCACTACGGCCCACCATTTTGGATGCATCTGAGCATACGTCAGCGAGTTTCCGCTGGATTGCCTCTTAAAATATTGTGGGAGCAAATTGTTACCAGTTGTAGCTAATATATTTATTGCTCAATGTAGTGCATCTACGACGCGCGGAAGTTCGATCACATCAACACAGCTGGCCGTCAAAACAAGTGAGGAAAATTGAAATGATCAGAGAAATCTGTAAAAGGAACATAAGTCCCTAGAGACTTTTCGAATGCAAAGCTTATTCAAATACGGATATGCAGTTGATGTACCATTCTGTTTTGAATTTGTCTAAAAAGTAACACTGTTTTAAAACACCATGATTTACAGGTAGTATTCTTTTAACTCGCCTCTGACAGCCTGAAAACAAGCCACGTAGTCATTACAACGTTCGCACCGCTGTGTTGACAAAGTCGAATCAGTGCTCTTGTAAGATGCCGCGGACATGTCATGGGCTTATCTGGTTAGGTGGTGATAGGTATTGCTTTTTCAGAAATTTGAAATGGCTCGGTGTTGCAGCAAATAATTTGCTTTGACACCGCCAAAAATACGCAGAAAATTTGATGGGAAATTTTCCAGAGCGAGAGTCTGTCGATATCCTTTTGCAACGAGGATAAGCAAACTGCTTTGTACCGTTTTAAATAAACGAGGCTGTGCCATTTCGGCAAAAGCCTAACCCTCTGTGTTTTTACTAAACCAGTTCAACTAGGGCGACTGTATAGTCTCTTAATAGTCGAAACCATTCACAATTTGACTTTATCATTCCATCAAAGACGAACTGCCCATCTGTTTTTAAAAACATCTTTTAAAATTATACATACTGTCCTACAGATGGTAATTACATCAATTCTGTTTTATTTAACATCGTTTTCATTGTTTGTATTTTTGCCCCAACGGCTGCAGGAAGAGGAAGTGTAAAATCTTTTTTTTTTTACTATTAATTAATAGAATTTGTATAGTGCTAAGACTATAAAATATTCAAAAGTGCTTTACATTAAGTTACAATTAAAACCTAAGATTAAAATTCCTGGAAAAGTAGCAATAACAATAATTATGATAAAAAAATTCTACGTTAAGCTAAAATCTAAAAAAAGAAAAAGATGAAAGGCTAAGATTCAATACAAAATTAAAATTAAAATCTTCCAAGCACTAAACATTCAGAGCTATACCAATAAATTGTAAGCTCACTTAAAGAGAAAGTTTTAAAATGCTTTTTAAAAATGGCGAGGCTACTACTTGTTCTTAATGATAGATATTGATATATAGGTAGACTAGAAAAAAGTGCGTTACAGTAATCGAGGTGCGAAGATACAAAGGTGTGGATCACTGTCTTTGTCGATTGCTCGGTAAGGAATTTTCTGATCTGTCTTATGTTGTATAGTTCGCGAAAAGCCCTGCTACAAATCTTGTCTGTGTGAAAATTCATTTGCATATGTGCATTGAACCAGGACCCAAGTCTCTGGACGCTTTTTAAAGGTCTAATGACGGTGTCACCAATGGCAATATACTCAATAGATGTTTTTTACAAATTGTTGACAGGTGCCAATGATTAAGAATTCAGTTTTCGCGTCATTTAATAATTAAACGATTCGTAATGAAGCAAGAGCGAACGTCAACAATGCACTTCTCAATTACAGGACAGTTTAATATCCGAATGGATAGAGGAAGGTCGGAAAGAGTTGAATCTGAGTGTTGTCAGCATACCCATGGATGGTAGGGAGGTGTTGAGAAATAATGTTTAAGAGGCGCAAGACGTAGCGTTTAAATAAAATAGGCCCCATACAACTGCCCTGGGGGACTTCACAGTTCAGATTTAAGTCGCCCGAAGTCATATCACCGATAAGTAGTGCGAGTTTTGGTCTTGTAAACTTCGCACTCCTTCACGGAGACTTATGTCAACATTAGGGTCGTACGGTAAGCCGCCAGCAAATGATTTGATAAAACCTCTGACGTTCATTAAAAGAGACGCTTCGCGTGAAAGTAGTGGTTTTACAGTCACGTTTTGCTCAGTTAGCTTCTATAAGTACGTTTTCGGCAGTCAGATATGGGTTCAATTAAGGGGGAAACATGTTCTTCGCAATTATTGAAAGGTTGGGCGAACCACGCATCCTTGTCCTCTCTGCAAGCTATTTTCCGAACTTTGCTTTGTTTTTTTGTTTTTTTCCTCACTTTGTATAGGTAATCACATGATTTCGACTGCAATTTGGATTAAATAAGCACGAGTAAATTTTTTTAAAGACTACCAAAATGTGTGGTCTTGAAAAAATTAACAAGTGCTTATATATTCTAAATTGCACGAGAAAAATCATGTGATTACGTGTTAATAATAAACATGAAATAATACGAGATAGCTTGTCATAATTAAGCATAAGCAAAGCGCGCGCATCAAGTGCAAAAAATGATTTATTCAAACCGTGCGTTCCGTCAAAACAACCGCGTACGATCAAAACAATAATATGCAATAATATATTCTCATCTTTAAGGCGCAAAAAAGTTCAAAGTCCGGCTAAACGGTTCAAGGAATTATTCAGTCTATGTCCGAATCACTTTCGATGAAATGGAATCGTCGTTTCTGAGGTTTAACCTTGTTTGTTTTTAATTTCGGCGTTGGATCGCTCGAGCAAAGTGTTAAGCTGGGTCGGCTCGTAATTTTCGATTTCCTTGGCAATTCCTTTCTCTAAACACCACGTTTTCCAAACCGACAACCAAAAAGCCGTGCTTTTTACAGTGTTTTCAAATTTTGTTGCGACATCTAAGGCTCGCATTTGATTGGCTGTCTGTGAGTTTCTTTGATTATTGACCAATCAGAACGTCTGATTTATTACTTTCTTTGCAATGAATTAACCCTCTTCTGCACTGAATTACCTGAAAACTGCATTTATCTTAACCAATCAGAACTGAGTAATTTTTTCATGTATATTGTTATAAAAGTAACGCGATAACAGATTGACTTATCTATTTCTGAAAACCAAAGCGTGCACTTTAACGCAAGAAGATCGTTAGGAAAATTATAGAACCTTTTACTCCACAGCTCGCATGCCCTCTAGGAATTTAAGTTAATTTCTTTGAAAACGCACGTTTAGGCCTCGCAACGGTTTGGAGTAAACTCCCCTTCCCCTCTTCCCCAACCCCTCGTTCTGAGAGACGTTGGACCTCTAGCCAACATTGTATCGGGAGATGGAGAGGGAGAGGAGACCGACACAAAGAAACCAGCAACCGGACAGGGACAACTTAAGCGTTCCAAGACTCACGCCCTGGTCTTAGTAATTCCGTTTCCAATAATTTGTTTTACAATCCCCATTTGGAGCGAGACACAGTTTGCTTGTTTTCTTGGGAGACGTTATTACTAATGAAAATTATGGTTTTCTTGATGTTTTATTGTCGGACATTAGTTCTAGCTGATGCCATTCTAATCGCTTCTAGGTGGAACCTTGACAGAGAGAATCTTTAACATAGCAAGTGGGACGTCTAGCTTCACGCAATCAGTACTCGACGCTAGGTATGTTTCGTAAGCTGAGGTATTTTACCATAGTTCTTCTTTCAAAAATAATCACGTATCGTTGGAGGCTTTTAACTGTTGGAGTTATTTTGGCTACGTCGGTCTTAGGTATTTTTCTCAGCTTCCGTCAAACTCCGCATCTCAGACAGTCTGGACCTAGTCGCGAATGTAAAACTTGGAAAGAATCTCTACAGCACAAAACTACTCTGATAACAAAGACTCCATGTGCAAGGAACTACTTTCTTCTCATCCTAGTTTCATCTGCACCTGCAAACCAAGGTAGAAGAAATCATGTTCGTAAAACCTGGGGCACTGATAACAACGTGTCTCCAGTGTGGAAGACATACTTTCTGATTGCGCAAACAGAGAATCAAACACATTCAGATTTTGTCCATAACGAAGACAAAGTCTATGGCGACATAATTCGCGCCGACTATTACGAGAATTACTGGAAACAGAGTTTTAAGGTTATGATGGCCTTTGAGTGGGCATCGCGATATTGCAACTTCTCGTACCTCCTAAAGACAGATGATGACATATTGGTCAATATCGAAGACTTTATTCAATTTTTGCAGAAGAAATCAACTCCCAAAAAAGAACTTTTTTTAGGAAAACTTCATCACAACCCTATCGTACGTCGAGAGGGGAAATGGAACGTGAGTTACGAAGAGTACAACCACACTCACTATCCAGATTTCTGTAGTGGGGCCGGCTTTGTTATGACCTATGACGTTATCGAGTGCATTGTTCCCTTGTTCGACGTGATTAAGCCGTATAGGATGGATGATGTGTATGTAGGAATGCTTGCCCATGCATCTGGCGTGATAGCAGAGGATCATGTTGGGTTCTTTATGCCAATTGATGATTATGACGACTGCATTTTTAAACCAAATGTTCTTCTGCAGCACAGAGCGACTGGACAGTGTTTAAATAAATTACTTCGTATTCACAGGAAGGACTTTCTGTATGGCATAAAATTGGGTTCATTTTTTTGATAATTTGTCGATTTAGTTAATCATCATTTTACTAGAAAAGAACATATGGGTACAAAGTATTTGGTAACAGCTGTATTGGCAGACGATCGTGTGTCTTGTAGAACGAGCGATTGGAGCAATTTTAGGGTCTATATCCACCAGACCATGGGTAATCTTAGAGAACAGTAACATATCTAAGTACTCATGCCAGTAGCTGATGGGTAGTAAGGAAAAGGCTTTCAGCCGTTGTTCATAACTCTGGCATATCAGTCAGTAATTGGCCATCTCGACACAAACCCTAATTATCTTTTGTATTCAAGCACAAGTGGCACTAAATTGATCGGAATTCATTGTAAGGTAGACTTTCAAATGAGAACTTAAATTAATTACGAGTAACGTTTGTTTTTGTGCACGAAAATGCACAGAATACAAATTGTCAGAACGTTCAGTCAGTAACGCTGGAGAATTGAAGACTTTCGAAAAATTAGGTTTTCATGAAGTATCACCCAAAGCTGCTTATTAAAAAGTATTTATATAATAAGCTCATTTATGCACGCATTCTGATTGGTTCTCACTTATGATCTATTGGAGGACAGACGTATAGATGACGTCATCGTTAAAACTTTTTAAAATTCTTTATTATATAAAACAAATAGATTCCAAGTTACCGTGCGTCTGTTCAGTAATAGATCACAGAGGACTTCAAAATGTGGTAAGAACATCAGTGACACACTCGGCTGCGCCTCGTGTGCCACTTTTTTGTTCTTACCACATTTTTACGTCATCTGTGATCTATTACTGAACAGACACACGGTAACTTGAAATCTATTTGTTAAATAGTAAGTTGCAGTATTCTATGATTATACCACAAAGGCTGATTGAATTGCTCTCGAAATTTGTGGATACTAGCAAAGGTTCATGATAATTGACCTTCCCACTATTGAAAATATTGCTTGTGGAGAGAAATAGAGAATAAGAATGAAGTACGTTCATTTGCTTAGAGAAAGACGAAACCATAAATGAATGAATCACAGACTGGTTGATGTGTTGATTCTATTTATGAATATTTCTGGCAGTTTTTTTTCCTGATCAAGAGTATAAACTTGTGTCGATGTTATACAAACACATTGTTGATCATGCAAACAAAACTCACGATCAAATCAAGATGACAGGCATTCCCTCAACTTTAGTATCAAAGCGACATGTTCGTAGTTTCAGCTTTTTGAAATATTGAACAGGATAACTAATTGCAAAAATTTGGTCGGTCGTCTGCAGACGCGCCAAGGAGGCAGCTCCGAATCGATCCAAAGCAGCTCTGTGATTAACTTTTTAGCTTTAACAGTCGAACATCTTTCCAAACCGTAAGGTACTGTTACTGTCCTAAAAAAGAGAATAGATTGTCTTAGATAATGCACATTTGCAGGGAAGTTAAACCTTAATTTCAACGTTCACACGAACTTTTAGCCTTCTTGTGTTTGTCTATCCCATTCTTAGCCCACTCTGCTTTCCCCTCCTTTTCTTTAAAACAAGAAATAATATTTGTAGCATGCGTAGTCACTGACTTTTCTAAAGTTTTGCTTGTGTACGAAATGGCCTCTTTGTTGCCGCAGTAAGAAAAAGCTTCTGTGGTTGCCAAGTTCACAAAAAGAATCACGTCATGTACTACAAACTATGAAGAGATTCCTTTTGAGCAAAAAGCAGTTCTTGTATCGTTCCAAAGTTAAGGTTTAAGTTTGGCATGTTCATGCACGACACCTCCCTACTCCCAGGCACAGTGACCAACTTCCTTCCCCCCCCCCCCCCCCCCTCCATTCCTCCGATTTTGGACTGTCGCCTTCCCAGAAAAGCGATATTATAAGGAAGTGAAAACAATTTTCGTATGTGATTTCACTTGGTTCGTTATTCCTATCTTCGTTCTCTGCTCACTGCAAATGAAAGCTTGTTTTGGATTGGTTTAGGAAAGCGGGAATCAGGAATTTTTTAAAAACCATCTATTTTTAACAGTGGCGACTCCTTGTGCCTCGGCCAGTTTCCTACGGTTTTCAATCCTCCAATTCAGGGAAAACCCAATGATAAGAATTACGTAGAAAGGTATTTGGTAAGTGCTCTTTGTGTTTTGATTATGACAGAAAAATTTAAGAAAAAACCCGAAAAAATTTGACAAAATCATGCACCGTGACGAAAACATGACCAGAATATCTCTTCCGCCGGAAATTTCCTTCTTTGTTACTTCCAGAAGAAATTAAAGGCTTGAAGGAGACTTAAGTTGATGTGATCTTCTGGTTTGAATACTTCTTTCCGAAACCAAAATGATTGCAGGCAGGTTTTGTAGAACTGAAGATGTAGAACACACCATCTGTAAGGTTTAAATGATAGCCATAGCAAAGAGAACCAATCCATCTTTGACAGTTTCCTCAGCAGCAAAGCAGAATTCTTTCAGTCCAAGGTCGTTTGGCTACATGATAAACTCGTGTTTCACTTTTATTTTTTCTGTTAAAACTGATTTCATCTGTGATTTATCGATAAAAATACTTTGTACACAAAGCAAAACTAACCTTGGTAAAAAATTCGTTCAATTTCTTATTAATTGCATGCTGCTCCCAGAGTTCCACGCGGCGAAAATGAAATGAATGGTTTCGCCAGTTTCTTAATTAATAATATACATAGACTCAGTTCTGATTGGTTAAGATGAATGCAGTTTTCAGGAAATTCAGTGCAGAAGAGGGTTAACTCGGTGCAAAGAAAGTAACAATTCTGATCGGTCAATAATCAAAGAAAGTCACAGATAGCCAATCAAATGCGAGCCTTGGATGTCGCAACAAAATTTGAAAATTTGAAAATTTGCGAGCGAAACAATGGCCGGCGTTTTAAGTTGGTTTTCTTTCGCTACTACAGCTGAAAAACAGCTCAAATGACGAAAACACTGTAAAAAGCACTGCTTTTTGGTTGTCGGTTTAGAAAAAGTGGTGTTTAGAGAAGGGAATTGCCAAGGAAATCGAAAATTACGAGCCGACCCAGCTTAACACTTTGCTCGAGCGATCCAACGCCGAAATTAAAAACAAACATGGTTAAACCTCGAAAACGACGATTCCATTTCATCGAAAGTGCTTCGGACATAGACTGAACAATTCCTTGTTCATATTTCATCACGCTATTTTGTATAGGTAATCACATGAATTTTCTCGTGCAATTTGGAATAAACAAGCACTTGTTAATGTTTTCAAAGACCACAAATTCTTTTAACACATTTTGTTAGTCTTTAAAAAAATTTATATTACTCGAGCTTATTTATTCCAAATTGCACTCGAAATCATGTGATTGCCTATACAAAATAGCGTGATGAAATATGCAAAGGTCTCAGAGGGAATGATGTTTGCCTGAATGAAATAAAAAAGTAACCTCATAATTTCTTTATTGTGCCAGCAGATTTACATCTTGATCGCCCATAATGCTTTTTTTCTGAACAAAACCTTTAAGCTGTCACAAAAGTAGCGGCGACCGTCAAGAAAGGACAACGAAAAGATAAAACTGCCCTTTTGCGAAGGCTCGTTGAAAGACAGCCTCATAATTAAACAAGGAGAACATTGAGTTAAGCTGAAACTCTTTCTTCGCCGGAAATTTCAGTATATCTATGTCATAATGATGAGAAGTAAGAGAACTTTGATCGCCCTTGAAAGTGTATCATATATTGCTACTTGTCAAGGTTTAATGGGGTCGCAACCAGTAAACGCGAACCCACTCACCTGCTTTAGACCGCTGTCCATCTGTACAGCTGAGAACATTTTATATATCACTTGGGAAAGAGAGCGAGCAAATATTTGGTGAGTAGCAATAAAGTTTTGATTTCAAAGCTGACAAGCGTAATGTACATTTTCTCTAATATATTTTTACAGAGGAATACTTTTTTCTTGCTGAAGCATAGCTCCTATCTAAATACTAATTTATCTCATAAAAGATGTAAACTTGAATATTTTACACTCTACATTTAAAAAAAATTATAATAAACGTTTTTTAGTTAACGTTGACTAAAAAAAGACAGTAACACCAGCCATATATTTCATGTCACCTTAGCCTCATAAAATACTAAAATACTCGTGAAATTCTTAGGGAAACTGATTAATGCTGAATCCAAGCAAGTACAACTTTCAAAATGCCACGAATTTCTGCTTATTTTCATTTTTTTTTATTGAAACACCTGTTTTTTCACCTGTACAAATTGGACACAGTGTTCAAAACAACTCAGAATTCTTCTTATTAAAGGCAGAAGCTTCTTTTTCAAAGAAATCAGAGCGAACTGGCATAGAGCTAGGAAGTTCTGGTAAAGTTTGAGTGAGGTAAAATACTCACTTTCGTGATGTCTGCACGGCCACCAGTAGCTGTGTTACTTGGGGTACTTTTCGTGCTGGGTAAGCTTATTGAAATGTGATTTCTCAACACTGTACGAAGTCAAGATATGATTCAGGGCACGTAAGAAGAAACGGCAGCACTGCTCCTAATTATTTTCACGAACAAAAGCTACGACTTTTCATCAGTGAAGAATGCACATATAGATATGTTTGGGAAAGGCGAAGAAAAGCGTTGTAAAACAGAAAAGCTGCCAACTAATTTTTTTTCATGAAAGCTACTAGATTTTTGAATGCCCTGTTTGCTCCTAAAAGTCATGCAGTATTTGCTTGAATATTGCGAAAGGAATCTTATCTAGTGGAACCCCGAGTAAGATTTGAGAAAAAGATCTTGGCAGCCTTACACATCATAGTTCTTTTTGTTTGTCTGTTACTCAAGTCCGCTCATCAATGTTTAATGCTATCATTCTTTTTCAGGAGCACTGCCCAAAGTTGAAGGTAATCTAATGGCGTTTTAAGTATCTGGCTGATCCATGAAAATATTTACTGTCGTACGACACACGTTGAGCACCACCTTCTTACTTGAAACACAATAAATGAAGTGAACACTCAACTCTTCCAGATGTCCTTAAAGAGATGCTGCGTTCAGTGCCTTACTTACGTACCAAACAGCCAAAAAAATGAAAAAATAAAAGATCTGAGATATAAATTGATAAATTCAGCTTCTTACTTGAGGGGAACGACGGCCTGCGATCTCACGAGACACGTTTGCGTTATGCCAGGCCACACAGTGGCAACCATAACATTTGGCTATAGTATAAGATAGCAGGCAGTAAAAAGTCACATCTTTAGTTCGATACTGAGTACCTTCTGAGGATAAAAAAAGCAAATCAGGTAGGTCTAAATTTGAATCAGCTTCAAACAAACCGATTTTGTTTGAAGCTGATTGCCAATAGGTATTACTCTTTGTTTTCCTTCTATAAAGGCTCTTACGAACAGGAAGCCTTAGAAGCACATAACAATTATCGCAGGATCCATGACGCCCCACCAATGAGGCTGGACTCTAATATGAACCAGCAGGCAGCAGCCTATGCCCAGCGGTTAGCACGCATGGGTACACTGCAGCACTCGAGTTCTAGTGAGAGACCAGGCCAGGGTGAGAATCTCGCCATGGCTTGTGGGTCTGGAGGCCTGTCCGCGAAAAGAGCTGTTGATATGTGGTGAGTACTGAAAAAGTACTAAAGAACATTTCACTCACAACTTGTTTCAAGGGAAAACAATGCCTTTGTTGCTCTTGCTGTTTTTAATAACTGAGCAATCCCATGTCAGGTATCAAGTTTATCAGTGTAAAAAAAAAGTGCTGTCACGGTTAACATAACACATGATTTGACGTGTGAGTCATGTACTAGCGATTCCTCGAGAAAGTTCTACAATTTCACTGCTAAAGTTTAGTTCATTCCGAACGTCCCTCTTTCTTAAGCTTCTAACCTTTCCTACTCGTTTCTTTCTTTCCTCTTTCTACCAAAGGTATAAAGAAGTTTGCCAATACAACTTTAACAATCCTGGATTTGGATATGGCACAGGGCACTTCACGCAAGTAGTTTGGCGAAAAAGCGTAAAATTAGGAATGGGCTCCGCCACGTCCGGAAGATGCACCTATGTTGTCGGCCGATACAGCCCTGCGGGGAATATGATGAGGGACTTCAGGGACAATGTTGCGAAGGGAAGTTTTGAAAAGAGTAGTTATTGTAACGGGGGTGGTGGAGGCGGTGGAGGCGGCGGCGGCGGCGGCGGTGGTGGTGGCGGTGGGTGGCGTCCAGGGGGAGGTGGAGGTGGAGGAGGGTGGAGACCTGTTGGAGGCGGGGGTGGTGGTGGAGGTGGCTGGAGACCTGTCGGTGGAGGTGGAGGAGGAGGAGGAGGCTGGAAACCTGTGGGCGGAGGAGGAGGAGGAGGAGGAGGAGGAGGCTGGAAACCAGTTGGGAACGGATGGGGCCGGAGGCGCCGCTGACCATCCGAGTAATTTGTCTTTTGTTCCCGTTGAGCGAGCAAATAAACCAGATATTACATGATTTGTTTTTTGATGTGTACTGTTTCATAGCGGTATTTTTCTTGATCTTGCACCTTTCAACTTTGTCCCAAAGCACTCTACGGTTACTGATGTAAGTACCTTCCGCCAGCTTTTACCTTCAATTTAAGATTTTTACATCATATATTGTTTTCAAAGAACACTATTAGGAGCTATAAATGATCTCATAAGTTTTCCAATCCCTTTTCATCACCATAAGGAGTTTACTAGGAGCTCAGCGTTAGATTATACACGTGCACGCGCTGACTTCAGCAGAATCTATACGACAAGTTATTCCTGAGTTATCGTCAAAAGCAAAATGTATGTAGCATGGAAAATAATCAGTGTGACATGCCAAACGAACAATTATTATCACCTAGAAGGGTAGTAGGTATGGTTTATATGAGAAGTCATTGGAAGGTCAGAATGATCTCTCTCTCAAGGAAAAGTAAATGAAAAGCTTTACGGGTCAAGTGTTTTATAGCTATTAGACTTCAGGGGATTTTTTAGGGAGTACTAACATAAGTAACACGTGCAAGCTGTATTTTCTAGAAGGACATTGCCTTAAATGGTGCAACAGTTCACTCAGATAAAGTGTAATTCAATTATAATACTTTCAATTTGAATTTAAATTTATTTATTATTTCGATTTTGATTCATTCTAAATCAACATTTCCACTTTAGGGTTTTTTTTAAATAACTCGAAGATTTATAAATATTTCATGGGTGGCAAATTATGAAAATATTTCGTCTCAACCACTTGACTTATTTTGATCTAAATTATACCATTTTTGACTGACTTTCCTATCTAAACACCCGTTGTTGCACCTGTACAAACGTCAATTATAAACTAACACGACCCCGCCTTATTCATAAAGGCACGAGAAATATTGAGAAGAAAACAGTGGGTACTCTGAACTCGGTGTTCTGAAGAAGTTTGAGAGGGGAATTTCATTCCTCTCTCGCTATGTCTCAAAAAACATCTTTAGTTGTGTTGCTGAGGACACTGTGCATGTTAGGTAAGGCCCTAGGGTAATGTAAAATACCTTGATAGGAAAGCTAAGTATCCTGAATAATTTGTAGCGTGAGAGCATTTATGTTCATCCCGGCCGAGAAACAAATGAGTTTTCGTTTGCACAGACAGAAAAAGGGAAAAAAAGCGTAGAAAAAGAGAAAGCCGGAAAGTTACTTGATGATAACGCTAAGGAACTTACGATAACACGTCCTTCTGCCTTTATATATTGCCAGTGGTTGAATTTTTTTCACGTAATCGCCCTATTCCGAGGGCAATCATTGATTGATATCAAACGAATTCTGCAAACCTATCCGAAGTCTCGAAGTGCAGAGGAGAGTTGAGAAACTTCAAAAATAAATCTGAATTAATCCTTAATTGCTTAGGAAATTATTGCGAGTAAATGTTTTTATATGATATGAAAAATATTGTGTAAAGAAAAAATTCCCAAGTCGTACCTTTCAGAATAGCGTTTCGAAAAAATCTTCAATTAAATAATAGTGCTAAAAACCAAAAGTATGATAAAAAAAAAGTAATTGGAATTTTGAATCAAAGGTACAATGCTTTTTGAGAAACACAAGTATATTTATCTAACAAATTTTCCTTCAACTTTTAAAATAGAACTCGGCGGAGTAGGACACTCTCTCAGACTTTGAAAATATCCTTGAAAAGAGACTTTATTAAGTCATCTCGTCCTCGATGAGTTTTTATTTGACAAGTCTTTGCTGGCTTCACGGTCAGGTTCTTGAACCAGTCGAGGGAAACTTGTGACATGTTGCAATTCACGTTTTTGGTACCAGTTGCATTAGCACACATGTAGCTACTTTTCCGATCCTTCTTCTAAAAATGCTTGATGTACCTTTAAGATCCTTGTCGTTTAATACCTGGCCGATTGAAAGACTTTTTCTCTACCGCTTATTCAGGAGGGTATTTGCATCATTTGTTCTCAATAAAGTTTTTTAGGCAGCGATTTTTTTCTCTTAAAGCCTGGAGGCATTTCCAAACAGTTTTTCATTTGTCTGAAGCTCTCGTCATTTTGAGAGAAGTTTATTAAAACACTAGTATAAAGCTGCTTTTACAAATAAAAAAAGGCAGTTTTTATCAGCCAATCGACATTCAGTTGAATGGCAGTTGATTTTGATTCAAAAGTTGCACTCGAAGTGGAACACGTAAACGCTTTTGGAGATGCTCAAGGGCATATATTTTCACACAGTTTTCATTATCAAGGCAAGGGGAAGAAAATTTGGGTGACACAATGTGAGTTCACTGATCATCCAATTCTCATAATTGCCAATTTCCTTCTCGTCTCTGGAGATCTCTTTATATCTTTTATCATTCTTTTTAGGGAGGCTGCTTCATGTTGAAGGTAAGTAGCAAAAAGTTCCTTAGATGCTTCATTGATTAGTTTAATTATTTAGAATTGTGTATTTTTTCCTGTATGAAGTCTGTGCGGAATGTGAAGGAAACGCTCGACGGACAAAAAGTAGTTTCAGGTTTGTTTTCAGAGTTCTGAAAAAGAGATCCCTTGCTGACTAATATTAACGTTCATACTCTCACAACTATGGAAGCTCACCAGATGTCATCAATGACTTAAAATACAGAAATACGTGATGATTCTTTATGAATTCTGCCTAAAGAAACATATCCCTAAAGTAAAACCATGCACTTTACGAAATGGACATTTTACCTGACCAAATGATTAAAAAAGCGAAAGAATAGATTCATTTATGAACACTCACTACTATTTTTTAAACTCTTTGATAAAGGATAATGCATTTGTCTCAGTTCCATAATGTTGCACTCACTTCATGATTTAATTGCGTGTTCCCTTGATAGGACTACGTCATTTGGTCCTCACTACAAGTTGCTGTAACTTTGGTGGATAAGTAGGTAAGAATTCTAACAAAATACCTTTTTTAAAATCAATCTAGGATCGTTTGAGCAGGAAGCTTTACAAGCACATAACAATTATCGTTCGATCCATGACGCTCCACCAATGACGCTGGACTCAAGTATGAGCCAGAGTGCAGCAGCCTATGCCCAGCGGTTAGCGCGTATGGGCACTCTGCAACACTCGAGTTCAAGTGAGAGGCCGGGCCAGGGGGAGAATCTCGCCATGGCATGTGGGTCTGGAGGCTTGTCCGCAAAAAAGGCTGTTGATATGTGGTGAGTGCTGAAAAGGCATAAAAGAGCATTTTACCAACAGCTTGTTTTCGGTGCCTCTATAAAAAACGTGCTGTTGTGAATCGCGTAACACGCGTTTCCTACGCGCGAGTAATAAACTAATGATTCTACATTAAGCTCTATAGTCTGCATTCTATATTAAAAACCTTGAGAAAGTTTACGAATGAAGAGATGCAAAGCCGTTCAGTATTCGGTCAGTCAAGTTGGCTCGAAATCGCCTCAATTATTTCTGTGAACCAAAAGAAATTGTGCACAGTCTCTAAGATGCGTTGCTCATAGTGACGTTTTTTTTCTGTTTTTCCAGGCTGTTTTGTTTCATAATTTCTTAAGTTACCTTTGCTGTGCTCAGAATTTATTTTCTCCAATTTATAGCTCCTTATCATGTCACTTATTTCTTAGTTTAATAAATAATTGCTAAAACGAACTTTACCTTCAATTATTAACATGACCGAGAAAAGGTTTTGTGTCTAAATATTTTCCAATAGAAGATGATATTCAAAGGTCCTTCTTTCTTTCAATTAGTTCCTCACTCCTTCTTTTCAACCATAGGTACGACGAAGTTTGCATGTACAACTTTAACAATCCCGGATATGCGTCTGGCACAGGGCACTTCACACAGTTAGTTTGGAAAGGAAGTGACAAACTGGGAATGGGACACGCCACGTCCGGGCAATGCACCTACGTTGTAGGACGGTATAAACCAGCTGGGAATATGAAGGGTGACTTCGAGAATAATGTTATGAAGGGAAGTTTTAGTAAAGAGGAATATTGTAACAAGGGAGGTGGCGGTGGTGGAAATGGAGAGGGAGGTGGTGGCTTGGGACCTGGAGGTGGAGGTGGTGGGTGGGGAGGTGGCGTTGGCGGTGTGGACGGAGGCGGTTGGGGAGGTGGAGGCGGGTGTGGAGGTGGAGGTTGGAAACCCGGAGGTGGGTGTGGAGGTGGAGGCTGGAGACCTGGTGGTGGAGGCGGGGGTGGAGGCTGGAGACCTGGTGGCGGAGGCGGAGGTGGAGGTTGGGGACCCGGTGGAGGTGGTTGGAGACCCAGTGGTGGAGGCGGAGGCGGAGGATGGAGACCCAATGGTGGAGGCGGAGGCTGGAGACCCGGTGGTGGAGGCGGAGGCTGGAGACCTGTAGGTGGAGGCGGTGGTGGAGGCTGGAGACCCGGTGGTGGAGGTGGTGGTGGAGGTTGGAGACCTGGTGGTGGAGGTGGTGGTGGAGGTTGGAGACCTGGTGGTGGAGGTGGTGGTGGAGGTTGGAGACCTGTAGGTGGAGGTGGTGGTGGTGGTGGTGGTGGAGGCTGGGGACCTATAGGTGGTGGCGGTGGGGACTGGAGACGTTGAGGTGGTGGATGAGGTCGGTGCTGCTGTCAACCATTGATTAAAGTATTTCTGAATAGAGATAAATATCCACTTAAAAGTTGTATGAGATTGAATTCAAAATTTTTAATTAAAGGATATTTGTTTCCCCTGAGCAATACCAACGAAATGCGCAATTTGTGTTTGTTAAAGTTATTCGATCAGGGTAAGGAGATCATTCTTATTTAGGTCAGTGAGGAAGCTGTGGGAGGTAATAGAAGAGATAGAGTGTGAAGAGAATCTCTTGCTTACTGAGAATTTGACTTTCCTTTCGATTTTTCTCCACTCCAAGTGCTCAACCGAGGAAACGTTTCTCCTCCATCAGTCTCCAGCTTTGTTATGATGCGCTAGTCTTCTACAGTGGTTTAAGTGGTTTCATATTTTCTTAAATTGGTCAAATCGATGACCACGCTTTGTCGGCCAAAAATGCAAAGGTTATGCTCCTCTTTTTCTTTCACAAGATGATTTGGTTTTATCAACTGAGCTGATGATGTAAATTGGTCACCGTAAAGAATCCAAAGCTGACGTTTCGAGCGTTCACCTTTCGTCACAATCTCCCTCTAAATTACTGAGCGAGACAGAAACGATTCCTATTTCAACCTGTATCGTTCCAGTTGAAAGTCTCTTTCATAGTTGATGCTTTAATGAGATGCCCCATAAAGCCTCACAAAAGCAAGGTGTAGGTCCGTTCAAAGAGAAGAGAGAATAGCAAATGCTAGGATTGTGGCATTTTATAAACTTTTAGGACAGCCACATTGGAGCTTGCCAAGACCATGACAACAATCACAACAACATCACGCTCATAGAGGGGTTATTGAAGCGGCCCTCATAAATCATCACTCAAAAAACAAAGACGTGTCAACCAATAGGCTGATTTGAAGGATAATTATGAAACAAGGATTTTCAACCGGCAGATCTTTCAGCCAGATATTTTTAGGCGTGTTACAGTCCACTATCACTTAACATGTACAGAAATCTTTTTTTTTTATCGTGGGATCATCCCACGTCCCCTTAAACCCCTGATCCAAGGCGCGCAGATTCTTCATACCCATTACCAGATTCCTGCGTGGAGCTCTCTTTCCTCGGCCAAATGCTAAATTTGTGTTTGAATAAGGAACAAAACTGAAACGGCTAAAAGGAAAAGGTGAAAGGATTATTTAGAGACTAATAACTTAATTTAGCCTTTAAAACAGCAAATGGTTGAATGTACCAATCATTTTTACCCACAGAAATTCCGGTTTTCAACACTGTCTTTGACGCAAGATTTTTCACCTTTTTTCAATGTCAGGGGGTTAAAAGACACAGCTGGAAAACCCATAATGTACGTGCGTGGTAGGATATTGGGGTCGCTATGGTTTGGATATAAAAATATTTGATCTGGAAGAGTTACATGCATGTCGGGTCTAAATTGTTTTGAAAAGCAACACCGTAGGGTTCATAGATAATTTATTTCGTAAAAGGAGGTACGTGGGTGAGCGGAAATGTCTCTGTTCTAAATGTTAAACTTAATTTTGTTGTAATTGACTTAAATCCAATGATTACCTCAGCTCTCAGCCAGCTGAAGAGAGAAAGCGAGAGTACCTATGTGTTTCTAAGTTTCCATTGCTCTAGAGTTTGTTTTATTAAAGTTTCATTACTGTAGATGTGTTAAGCCCTGTGTGCCCTGTGTGCTAAGTTAATACAGGTAGAGATGTTTTTTTTTTTTGTTTTTTTTTATGGCGTTTACCGTAGTTTTAATTTTACCTTCCTCTCTCAAAAGTAAATAAGTTATCTGATACCGCTCTTGAAGTGACCGCTAAGTAAAGTATCATATGATTGCGCGTTGATAGTGTAACGTTCCTATCTACTTTGCGCCTTCTCCTTTGCAAAATACCAGAAATGGAGTCCAATTTATCTCTAGACTGAAATACTGTGGTACTACTAGTTAGGTTGTTCGTTAGATTGGCCTTGAGAAGAAATACTGATTGTCAGAAATTGCCAATTCAGGTTACTATCCACATATGAATGGAGTTGTTAGGTTTTTTGTTGTTTTGTAATGTAATCTATAGTAATGTGGCCAATAATTATAAAATAAACATCAGCGCTAGCGTTTCAATAGGATTGTGGAGAGCTGATCGTTTGCAGAATTATCAAGCAAAAACTGGAATTAAGGCCAAAAAAACCTTATATATTATGCTGATTTGTTTACGAAGACTTTACCGTATGCTTTTGTAATCCACTTGAAAACATTGTATGCTGAATATTTTGTGACTTCCTTCAACTCGCTAGAACATCTAGAGAAAAACTGCTCCATAGTTTAGTAACTGTTGCGAATCTCGTCTTGCCCCCTTGAACCAAGGTGTCACAGGAATTTCCGATACATGCATATGCATTGCAAATATTGAAGTGTGATTTCTTTGCATTAAACCTTTGCGGAAGGCAGGTTCAGACAGAGTACTGATGGATTTGGCTGGTGTCAACCAAATAAAGGATAAGATACACTTCAAAGTTATTAGTTCTTCTGACGTCGCCAGTCTTCAGAAACAGTCTTTAATGAGCGTCTTACACCCATGAAATAAAGTTGCAAAAGTGCTTTTTAAATACGAATTTTTCCGCCGGTAATATGCAGAATTAAGGTTGCAAGTCGCGCTAAAGCTACGGTAAGAGAGGAAGCTTGACTAAATTTCGTCCATGACAAAGTTGGAGACCTCGAATCACACCCACTTAAAATTTGAGGTGCTCCACATGTGCATGCCACTGCGAGGATGTATTGCCAAAACTGTCACGAAAGTTTCATTCCGACACCAATACTAACAAAAGTAGGAGAATAGCCGATTTAATGAAAAGTTCGAGATTAGAAGAGCGTTGGAACAAAATAAGAAGACTAATCGAGTAAAACATTACTGAAATGTTCTCATTGTGACAATAGGTCTTTTAGAGTCTTGTAATCGGGTTGTGAAACATGTGCGCTCTTGCTGGGGAAAAAAACCTGACGTAATAAAATTTAAGGACATTTCCTGACCTGGGCACGTGCGGAGTCGACGATGGTAAATTTCTTTGTACTCAATATTGTTTCAAGTCAAACTCACAAACACGATCTCTCGTAAACAAACTTTCTCTCACTTCTTAAAAGATCCGATACTATTGGTATGCTCCATTTCAAAACAACTATTCACAGACATGGTCACCGTGGAGCTGGCTTGAGAATACCGGAAATGAGCGGAGACATGAATTGCGTAAGTAAGCGCTTGAGACATGGATCATGTGCGCATTGAAAGAACCTGAGACAGTGTAAACATATTGTTTGTTATTGCTAGTCTACCGTGCTTGCACCTAGAAGGTAGGCTTTATCTTTATTCTCCGAAAGTGCAGTTGGGAACTGAACAAGTCAAAGGCCTGGATAAGCAAAGTTACTCGACATGGAAATCTACCTCGCAAGGTCAAACACCCTCAGGTTTCTCCTGGTTGCAGCACTACTCGTTGCTTTTCAGGTAGGGTTACTTCTTTCGCGCAAAGGCCCAACGATTTATGTCATAACAGTTCTCGGACTTGTACCTCAAAATTTTTTTTCAGGATATTTACGAATCACAAAGTTAGTTCAACACTTCTTTGCAATATACTGCTCTGTTTTGAAAACTGTCAGCCACTTGCTATCTGTGCAACACGCTAAATTGTTAAATATTTGAGTTCCGTTGAAAAACGTTCTGAACAGGAAGTGTAAAACATAAATTACGCTTGAGCACAGTGGATTGATTCTTCAATTTTACTTTTCTGTTCCAACGCATGCTTCGCGAAAATTTCCGATGTCAGAAATTATTCAGAAATTTAGACTTGTTTTCATATTTCATGGTCTTGCAAAACCGCTTGCGTGTGGTAGGGATAATTAAGCTGGTATTCTGTGACTTTCCGGTGACTTTTCTATTAGTTACAAGTGATCAGGGCATGTGTTAATTATCGCGCGGCGATTTAATTTTATGAAGATTATCTCGCATTTACTGGAAACGTTTTCACAGAGTCGGCTCAAGGTAATGCTAGTTGAAATGAGTGCAAGGATGAGACAAAAAATCGATACCCTCGACTGAAGAATGATTTGGATACATAATCTTAACTGGGAACATAGCCTTTCGCAATATTCATTTCAAGTTTGGTTTCCGGCTACATTAGTTACAAGATCACTTGAGGAAAAGTTTGATACTTATAAAAGTTTACGGGAGCTGAGGCGCATCGATTTTCGACTAATGAAAGGCATCTTATGCCTTTCTGTACGCCTTTGTAACTTTTTGTCTCGCAAGAGTTCTCAAGCGAAACGTTTCGTTATATCTCTGAATGAACTGAGCTTTGTTGAAAAACAGTGACATGTCTTGCATCGAAATGGGAGGTGTTTGAAAAAGGATTATGAGCAAACAAGTTGTTCGCTCTGGCTGAAGGTTAACTGTCGTCAAAAAGCGAGATGTATGAAGCACCTCAAGGAAAAAAAAATTAAAATGAAAATTAATTCGCAATGCCAATATACATCAAGGGATTCATGGAACTCTGTTATGTAATTTTTTTTTCAGAATAAAATATCTGAAAATCTGATGCGAATCGATTTTTCCTAGAAAAACCATAATGTGAAACTCAGCAGTTATCTTTTTCTCGACCCCATTTCATGCAGTTTCGTTTACTTTCAAAACAAGAAAACATAAGTTTTCCATGTCTTGCCGTCAGTTAGAACATAAGCCTACTTTGCATGCTTTCCTTCTTGCAGTAATTAATTTTCAGTGTTTACGTTTAAGAGAGTGTAATTTCTAGAAACGGATTTCTTCTCAGTTGTCAACGCATTGGAGTCTCACACTTAAACAGGGTTGCCTTCATTTTTAATGGCAATGGGACCGAGTTGAGTCCACTTCTCTATGTAATGATCCGCGTGATAAGTGAAATCAGACTACCGCGAAGCGGAGTCACGAGTATGATGATGGAGGAAATTCTTAAGACCAACAAGTCAAAACTATAACAACATTTGAGAG